AGGAAACTAAAACCACACATAAATTGTTCGAATTGTTTCTGCATTTGACTACAACACAGCAATTTAAAATTCGCATTCTTTGCATTATAAGAAGTTATGCCCCCAATGAAAAGAACACACACTTGATTATTCTAATATTAATAAACGGTACGGTGCAATTTCTAATCACGAACTAATATGAAAAACTATACCAACATTTATTTTCGATAAACTCTGATTATATAATACATATTTATTTATCGTTTTTAACTGCTAACAGCGCTTTCAGATGGAGCGTTTTCACATAGGTTTTTAAATTTTGAAAATTATTTATTAGTTCTAACAAATTATCTCTCTTATTTCATGTGGTCTAAACTATACAATGATTAACTTTATTGGTTCAACTTTCGTTTAGGTGAAATCTGTTATATAAAAAATGACTTTATATATGCGTTCTAGCAGGCGTTAGGAGTACAAATATACAAAAACTTTCCTGCGGAAATGCGTCATTTTCATTTTTCGGACTTTAGTATAGCCGAAATCTGTTACATCAAAACTAGTCTTCGGTGTGTGTTTTAGACATTTTTCTAAACATAAAAACACAAAAAAGTGTCTGCGGAAATTTTTTATTTTTATTTTACATAAAAAAATGCTTTGACTTTAGAATAGCCGAAATCAGTTACATCAAAAATGAACTTATATTTGTTTTATACGAGCCTTTACGAGCAAAGAAATACAAAAAAATTCCTGCGGAAATGTGTCAATGTCATTTTGTGCACTTTGTTTTTCATATATTTTTCAGTTTAGAAGCTTACGGGACCCGGGAGCGAATAGGGGTGCTGGGTGGGGTAAAACATCTTAAGGAGGAATAACAATTCTTGTAGAATAGATAATACAGGTTCTTGTAAACTGTAAATACCTCGGAATGTTGCACTTATTCTTGTTTTTTATTAAACCTTTACGTAAATAGGACTGATTCAAAACAAAAAATCATTGGATCATGCAGTTTTCTTTTATATTTTAATAATTAACTGTGATTTTGCAAAAATATTAGATTGGTTAGCATTTGGGTTGCTTTGGTTAGCTTTTCTTTGTGGAGGGTGTTAAGCTGTGGTTTTTATATTTTAATAATTAACTGTGATTTTGCAAAAATATTATTAGATTGGTTAGGATTTGGGTTGCTTTGGTTAGCTTTTCTTTGTGGAGGGTGTTAACTGTGGTTTTTATATTTTAATAATTAACTGTGATTTTGTAAAATTATTATTAGATTGGTTAGCATTCTAGACACTTTTAAATGCTTTTTTTTTGGTTCCTGAGTTTATAAACGCTTCTAGAAGGCAAAAATATATTTATTTTTTATATAACTGATTTCAGCTATTCTAAAGTCTATTAAATTTCCTCAGAAAATGGATACAGTTTATTTCCGCAGGAAAATTTTTATTTTCCTCAATTCGTGAATGCTTCTAAAAGGCAAAAATATATTTATTTTTTATATAACTGATTTCAGCTATTCTCTATTAAATTTCCTTAGAAAATAAAGACAGCTTATTTCCGCAGGAAAATTTTTGTGTTTATATGTTCAGAAAAATATTAAGAATAAAACGCAAAATGTATTTTTTATAGCAGATTCCAGTTATTCTAAAGTGCGAAATTTGGAAATTACGCATTTCTGCAGTAAATTTTGTGTTTTCAGTGGTTCACAGTAGCTTTTTAAAGACAATTTTTTTTTTCTAATAACTGATTTCAGATAAACGAAAGTTGACCCACTTTATTAGTTAATATTTCCTGGAACGTCTTTTGATTTTGCGAAGCATAAATTGCAATAATTTTGGACATATGTATGTGTATATAGCCAGTCCGACCCTGAATTGTTCCTTTTCAAGCGCATTTAAATAACTCGCATTCCACTTCAATTTATCCACCCTTCTGATTATTTTTCAAATTTAAAACCGACCCTCATTTAAATATTTTCACAGCGTAGAAACGGTTATATGTGTGAGTGCCTACCGCGACACGTAAAATATTTATAAGAAGATTTATCGGTCTATTTAAGAAAGTGCACATTTTTGTAAGTTTGGGCCCATTTGTAATGCATGAGGCCCTCGTCATAAAGACTGTATATTTATTGGCGGGAATATAGGAAAAAGCCGAATGAAGGCATAAATATATGATATTTTTATTTTACGTAGTGACGTTTAAAAAATGTATTGTATCTCGAATACGAAAACCTGTTTTGAATTTATTTGACAACTATTTTTGTTGAAATAAATAATTGAAATAACTCAAAACACATCTTTAATTAGAAAACAAAAACTGGAGTCCGCATTTTTAAAAATTTTATTTTTAATGCCTTAAAACAACATTATTAAGCTTGACCGGCACAACGTTGCCCATTTTTACATTTTTTTTTAATCAAAATATTTTAGGAAACAAAAATAAATTAATTATCTACATATCTAAAATGCTAATGTTTATCTGTGTCGTCTCTACTGAAGTAACGACTTGCTCTCGAAAGTTGCTTTTTTACTAAAAGATAACTAATTGGCTCTTCGAAAAACTGTCGTCGCCGGATTTTATATTTGTTTATCATTTAATTAAAAAAAAAGTATTTTTTTTCCTGATGTCGTGGTGGATGCGCCAGGCTTCAGCTAGTAAATATATAAACAGTTATTATTTACATTAACAAAACTCACCTTCTTAACAGCACTTAAGGGACATAAAGGGCCTCTTTCCCGTTCAAAATATTCTAAAGTTACAATAAGTTTTTACGGCTATTAAGCTGTCTTGTACAGTTCAAACTAAAAGAGGTTCTAAAAAGAACAATGTTCGACTGCAAGGTCTGCTAGTAAACATTTTTAAGCTTAAAGCATCACAACACTATTTATTTAAACCAAAAACTCGTAATGCAAAACTAAAGTGTCAAAATGAATGACAATGTCAGGAAATAATAAATAAATGTGGCCACTTGACATTTTTTACAACATATATTTTCTGTAAAATCCAGAAACAAATTGATATAACGGTGACTGGTATGCATATTCTTATTGCTTAAAATAACACCATTAAAGATAAGTACTTAGCCACAAAACTAATTAATCTATACGCAATTTTAATTTTTACTTCCATGCACCAGTAACCATCATATGTTCCGATTATTAGGACACCACCACTTTTAAGAGATCTAGTAATCGGCAAACGAAAATAATCTAAAAATATTCCTAAAATCTTATAATATAATCGCCTAAAGGCAGCAAGTTTAATATCTATACAGGTTATTTAATATAAAACATGCATAATTAAACCTAATTTTGTACACTTCTAATCTATCTTAAAAGTTTGGATGCCTTAACAAAGACGTTAAAGAACTAGCACAGAACCAACTTCGTCCCAATCACGTACCAAAAAGCAATGCAGAAACGAATTATGACCAGCTATTATAAAATACACATGTTGCGAAATTGATAATAATAATAATAATATCAAATCTGTGAAATAATTTTAATTTATTATTGTGCTATATAAAAATTCCTTAATATTTGAAAAAACTGTGATGTGGCAGAGAAAGTGACGAACACTGGTACAGTGACGATTACTGGTACACTTACCTTACATACATTTTAATCTTTAAGATTTTCCAAGTAAAGGTTGACTCTCACTATACCTTCCATATCAGCTTCCTTCCGTTTCCCTTCCGTTTACATAAAATATTATATCATGTAAATGAATAGGACAATGCACACTATACGTTCCGTTTCCCTTTCGTTCCATATCATTTCCTTCCATACATTTTTTTGAAGGACGGACTGAAGCGAATTGGAAACAGCGCTGTCAAGTTCTTTCATTTGTACCAGCTCTGTTAACATTTTGCTGATATTTATTTATTCTTTCACCTCTTAATTAAACTATTACCTTTTTCAAACGATACACATCTTTAAAATAAAACTTTCGTAATGATATAAATTGTACAATAAAAAGTATGGAACTAATACGGAACGGAAGCTTACGTATAACGTCAATACAATAAAAAATACGGAACGGATATGGAATGGATATGGAATGGAAGGTATAGTAAGAATCAACCTTAAATCTGCAAATCCAAACAGTCAAATGTATTCCTAAAAGTTGATTCTCATTATACCTTCCGTTTCCATTCCATATTCGTTCCGTATTTATATTGTATTAACGCCATATGTAAGCTTCCGTCCCGTATCAGTTCCATGCTTATTATTGTAGAATGTATATCATTACAAAAGTTTTATTTTAAAATATTGTATCTTTTAAAAAAGGTAATAGTTTTAATTAAGAAGCGAAAGAATAAATAGATATCAGCAAAATTTTAACTGAGCTGGTACAAATGTAAGAACTTGACAACGCTGTTTCTGATACGCTTCAGTCCGTCCGGCAAGAAATGTATGGAAGGAAAGGATATGGAACGGAAGGGAAACGGAATGGATAGTGTGCATTGTCCTATTCATTTACATGATATAATATTTTATGTAAAAGCAAGAGAAACGGAAGGGAGCTGATATGGAAGGAAAATTCGAACAAGGCCGATTTCACATACATAACTTCGCAGATTATGAGACACATCTTTTTAACTTAACGGAAGGGAGCTGATATGGAAGGTATAGTGAGAATCAACCTTAACTTGGAAAAAAGACTGCGCAATATTGACAATGATGAAAAGAATCTAATATTTCTGAAATTAAATAAAGGATTGCTGGCTGTCTTTTTCCTCTCTCTGAAGCCAAACTGCGATTCATTCAAGAAAAAAAAATCAAATTTCAAAATTCATTATCTTAAAACTAATTTATTAATCGTTTTACTAAACATTTCTCAAATATTTTTAAAATTATCGAAAGTAAGGATATAGATTTATAGTTTATGTATTTTGAAATAATTGGATCACTTTGTATAAATGTTTTTTTTTTTCTCTTTTCCAGAAATTTGGCTTACGTAATTCAGGCACAACGTTCCGATACGGTGCGTACCTTAACATAATACATTTTCTATTGTTTTAGGGAGAAAGAAGGGAGCAACACTTTACCCCAGGCCGATTTACACCGATAAAACTGCCCGAGGGTCCCCCCTTGGAGGGAGTGGTGCACTTATTGGATTTTCCGAGACACCGATTGAGATTACTGGAAAAATTAGGCGAGGGCGACTTCGGAATGGTAGGTAGAAAAACAGCTGCCTTGGCCAAAAATCACTAACAGAATAAATAAAACGAAGCACGTTTGAAGGGCCAGACAGTTTATGTGTCGTCTGCAAAAACTGAATTATTTATTTCAATTAGAGTCGAATTATTCCCTTGTCTTCATCATCTATATTGACTTAAAAAGCTTTTATTATTACAAAATGGTCAACTTTTCTCAATCATCTATCTATTTTTTGACGTGTCTTGTCAACAAAAGCAAAGCAACAAAGTTGCCGAAGCAGCATTTTTGGACATATTTTAGGTAATGTTTCTAATAATTTTGAATATGTTTCTTGACACAAAATGGAAACGGTATGCCACAAATAGGAAACATTTTCGAAACCTATATACGGGTGCGTCTCAAAATTGGCTCACCCCTATATTTTTTTTATTTTTTCAGATTAAGAAACGGGATTTGGTATATTAGTATATGACATAAATTAGGATTGATTATAAGTATTTTTATTATTGACGTATTCACTTGTTTTTTGTCACTTCCTGTTTAACCGGAAATGACTACAACTTTTGATTTTTAAATAGCACCCTCGGTACACTCCCCATTTTTTTTACCTTATTGGATAGAAAATGACATTCTGAATAGAACGACCTTTAATATGTCAATTTTTGACATTTTCGCTTAAAACAAAATCGTATTTGAAAATTCAATCTAGAGTGCCATGGCTATGTTAAAAACACTAATTCTTGATCAAGGAGCCTTGGAAAAATAGATTTGATCGTCTAATGTTTTTAGTGTCTTGTCCTGGCCAGTTAGAAAATGCTCAAATCGTATTTTAAATCATATCTCAATTTTTTCAAATGGAACGAGGGTAGCTCATCAGGATATTTCGAAAAAGCATTTTTTTACGAATAATTTGATACCACACACTTGGTATTTCGAGTCAAATTTTCTTTACGACCCGCAAGTTATATTTTCAAATAAACCATATGCGAAAATGTGAAAGTTGACATATGATATGTCATTCTATTCAGAGTGTTATTTTCTATCGAATAAAGTAAAAAAATACCGAGAGTGCCATTTAAAAATCAAAAGTTATAGTCATTTCCGGTGAAACAGGAAGTGACCGAAAACAATTGAATACGTCAATCAATCCTAATTTATGTCATATACTAACATACCAAATCTGTTTTTTTTAACTGCAAAAATAAAAAAGTTATAGTAGTGAGCCACTTTTGAGACGCACCCGGTATTTTATATGGCTTTATTAATTGTGTTTCCAATGTAGTGGCTCTACCTGTTTCCTAAAATGTTTCGATGCGGAATCGAAACATTTTCTGCAATTTGTGTCCAAGATGTTCCAGTTTTCAGCAGCCACTGTTTTTAAACTGTTTTTAAATGTGAAGAAACAAAATACCAAACTAAAATAGTCTATGTCTCTGTGTGAATTTCAAAATGAAAACAACCATCAACAATGTCGACCTCTACCACAATTTCTTAAAGTCTTAAAATCTTTCTTTTTAGGTTTTCTCGCACAAAAAATGTCTGGCAAAAGCAAATTTATCGTTTAATTTAATAAGGCACTTTCATATTTTTAATGCTCCTTAGTCATGCGCTAAATGTCCTTAGCACACAACAATTTGCAAAACGCCAATTTCAGATCGAGTTTTCCGTGTGTCAAACTGTATTTTCTAGGCTAGTCGTAGAAAAAAAATTACTTATTATAACACAATTAAAATCATGGGTATGGGTATTAGTACATTATAGTATTATTCGTAAATATACATTATATATTATTCCTAAAACAAATCATCTCTGTAATGCGTATAATAAATAATTATAAAATCGCATAAGAAAAATATCTGTATTTATCCTTCCTTCTGCTTCTTTAATTATAGTACTATAAAAACTTGAAGAATGCTTAAATGCAAACACTGCAGAACAAAATCCAAACAATCAAGTAAGGTTATGTTCTCATATTTGACAGAATATCAAATAAATTATGGAAACTTTTCAGGCACAAAACGGGTACGAAATCTGTAAATATGAGCCACATCTCTTTCTTAAAAGTTTCGAAAAATTTGTGACACTAATATCTTTATTGTTATAGCTTATTTAGCCAAACCATATTTTGGTAAAATGTTTCGAAACAAAAAGAGATTTATGTTACGAAACATATGTTTCAAAAATGTGACAAAACTGTTTCGCAATGTTTCTCAGCAAAGATTTTGTTTCGATTTTATGTCTAAAAATGCTACTTGGGTGATATTTCGGTTAAGCTAGGAACATATTTCATGCGTAAATTATTAAGAATTATAAAAAAAATATTTTATCAGTTTCTTAGGAAAAGAAATATGTTAACAAAACCACTCTGTCAGTTTTTTTTAAGTTTTTTTTTAATTCCCAAGAACCTAAAGTACCTGACAGTACCTGGGAATTAAAATGACAGACAACTCTCCACTGTCATGTATTTTTTGTAGTTGAATAAATTTTACTTGTAATTAAATATTTTTATAATTTGTTTGCTCAAATCAATTTTCTGTAGTTTTTAATAACTAAATCCCTAACCTTTTATTAGGTCGAAGATTACCAAAACAAGACCAAGTTTTCTGCCGTAATCCCTTTCCGAACATAATCCCAAAATGGCCCTTTTAAGCATGTTAGACCCCAAATGACACAAGAAAAAGAAAATATCTACAGCGAAATTCGGGTCTTTTCTTTGTTTACTGTTTCGGGCGGTCTTACAGAAAGGTCGCCTCGGGATACAACGGTTTCAAACTAATTATTATTAATACCAAAACGAAATATAGAAAAACACAAAGCCAAAAAGCAAAAGACACATTAAAAGACAAGATTAATTGGAAAGTATACGTTAATATTTTTGGGAATCAGAAATAAGTTACTTAAAATATTTTTTCCATAGCAACTGTTAAAATTGCCTTATATCTTATCAAAAATATTAGATAAAATAGTACTTTAACTGCAAGGGCAGATTAAATGCAAAAAAAGCAGTGCAAAGAAATTTCACGACATCTTCTGGGTTTAAAATTTTTGCCTTTTTTGGTTTGTAACCGCTACATGACTGCTTCAAGAAAGCTATGTGCTTGTTATATCTACAAAGTTTAGATGTTACTATACTACTAGGGAAATTTAAACGGTATAGCTTATCCTTAACCTTGAAATATCAATGTTTTCATTGACCAGTATTGTACTTTTTAGCATTGAATAATACGACCATAAACTGGACGGCCGCATTTTCTTTGATTTTTCAGAAAAATATGCTAAAAGTATGTTTTCACTTCATCTTTCTTCTCGCACGTTTTTTAATTACTTCCATTTTTGAAAATTTCTGTATTCCTTCTCATAAGTTATTCGGAATTTAATTGGAAGTAGTTTGGATATGGCGATTGTCGCCTCAGCCTGAATATCTGTTGGTAATTTACTTATTTCGTTTTGAGCCATTTCTGGCTCCAATTCAATCAGCAATCGACACGAAAGAGAATTAAAAAATATTGACTCAAAAAACTGACAACTAAAGAGACAGCTTTATTTACATAGATAAATGCAACAAGTTTAGATTGGAAAGCCCGTAAAAATTTTGGATCGCGAAATTATTTTGGGTCGCGACCGTTATACGCGATCTGGCGCTGCTATAGCGGTCGCTAAGAACAACGGCAAACAAAAACAGAAATAATTTTCTCTTGTCAGAAAAGTCAGAATCTTCAAAAATCACAATAATCTTTCAAAAAATCTAAACCGCTCTCATTAAAGAAATTCCGAAAAGTGTTTATAACGTCCATTTTCAAAGTAATTATTGCTATCTTGTGAGCTTAATTCAAGTTTTATTTACTCCAACCGGTGATAATTGTGAAAAAGTGGCATTAAAAACTTAAAAAGCTGTGCTGTAAACTGTGAACTGCAAAAACCATCTTGGATCGTGGCATAACGTCGGTTTCCAATGTTTCATAGGTATTTCATACATGCTTTCTTATATAAAATAAAGTTTCTTGTATGCAACACACTGTATTTTATTTATAAAATTAAATGAAAATAATAATAAATTTGAATAAACAATATTTGGCGATATAATTCCGGAAAAAGCCGAACCGCTCCGAAATTTTAAAAAGTTTTGGGTCGCGACCGTTGCAAGAATAGCGCCAAATAGTGTTTACATTGTCCTTATGGGCACTTTCCAATCTACTATGTTTATTTATTTGTCAAATTACATAGAAACCAACGCCAACTCAGCACAATATCTTTTCCACTCGTAATAAATTCCTTGAAATAATAATTTCTGAATATTTTTTTAAAATGTAACGCGCTATAGAAAAAAATATTGTTTTATACACGACGATAAAATTCCATTATCGTCTGCCGAAATTAATTCACTCGCCATTTCATCGCTTGTGAATTAATCTTTTCGGTCTACGATAAAATACCATTTTATCGCCTTGTATAAAAAATAACTATATTTTTTGTTTAATGTTAATCCTACTCGAAATTTAAAACTCGAAACTCTCAAAAAACTTTTTTTTCTACTACTACATACATTATGTCTCCGGATTGTCTCTTTGAGACATTTTGAGAAAAATCTATTCTTCATAGAACTTTTTGCTTCTTCTAAAATGGCTAGTTGGTTAATCCCGTCTTGGTGATTGAAAGGGTGATAATAGTCGGAAAATTTTATTTTCTATCTATATAAAAAATCTAGTTTAGTAATAACTAAGAACTAATAGCCCTAGTAGCTGATGCTCTGAGGTGGTTTTGAGTCAATAAAAATCTGACACAATCACGACCCTCTCTAGTATCTTCAGAAGATTTTCCACCTCCTCACAAGAAAAAAAAAATAAAAGCAACTCAAATGCGCATATATTGGACAGTCTACCAAAGATATTGCTGTGTCTCATGTTTGATCCCAATGTTAACTAATATTAAAATTGGATGAACTAATATTTAATAAATAGTAATATAATGGTGCTGTGGTCAAACCGAAAACCGCCCTCAAGTATAATACACCCTAATACTTTCATTTTTTAGTATTAAGTTGAATTCAAAAAATAAATCAGGAAAATAAAAATCCAGGCTGAAAAAACAAATAAAGGCAGATTTTTTAGGCTATTAAGCAAATAGATTCGCTGCTAAATCGATCGGAAAGAATGTGATTGCTGAAGTTATTTGCACGGAACGTGGAGAATAATCAAAATAAGTCTGAAACAGTGCCCGTTTGAAGTAAAATTGGAAAAGCTTGGAATACCAATCTTGTCATATAAAAAGAATTAAAAGTCAGAAAAGGAGAATTTTTAGTAGGAAGTAAGTTTTAATCAAAAATTATTTACAAAAATATGGGTCAAATATAAAAGAAAACGAAATAAATGGCAAATAATTAAAAAATATGGTAAAAGATATATGGTACTTAATAAAAATCATATACCGGGTGCGTCTCAAAAGTGGCTCACCCCTATAACTTTTTTATTTTTTTTTTGATGAAAAAACGAGAATTGATATGTTAGTATATGACATAAATTAGGATTGATTGACGTATTCAATTGTTTTTGGTCACTTCCCCGGAAATGACTACAACTTATGATTTTTAAATGGCACCCTCGGTTTTTTTTTACTTTATTCGATAGAAAATGACATTCTGAATAGAATAGCTATCATATGTCAACTTTTGACATTTTTGTTTAATATAAAATCGTATTTTAAATTTCAATCTACAGTGCCATGGCTATGTTAAAAACACTAATTATTCTTAATCAAGGAGCCTTGGAAAAATAGATTTGATCGTCTAATGTTTTTAGTGTCATATTCTGGCCGGTTAAAAAATGCTCAAATCGTAATTTTAATCATATGTCAATTTTTTACGAATAATTTGATACCACACACTTAGTATTTCGAGTCAAATTTTCGTTACGAACCACAATATAATTTCAAATAAACCAAATGCGAAAATGTCAAAAATTAACATATGATATGCCATTCTATTCAGAGTGTTATTTTCTATCGAATAAAGTAAAAAAATACCGAGGGTGCCATTTAAAAATCAAAAGTTGTAGTCATTTCCGGTGAAACAGGAAGTGAACGAAAACAATTGAATACGTCAATCAATCCTAATTTATGTCATATACTAAAATACCAAATCTCGTTTTTTTAACTAAAAAAATAAAAAAGTTACAGGGGTGAGCCACTTTCGAGACGCACCCGGTATTTAAAATATATAAAATATATTTTTTTCTGATAGGTTTAAAAAAAGATATTTTTTTAAATCTATCAAAAAAAATATATTTAATAGAGAGAGTATGACATTTAAAAAAATTAGGATTATGAATAATCAAAATTCATAAATATTTAACATCCTGTATATTTGCATATAGATTTTTATGTATCTCTATAAAATATTTATACGAAATTTCGAAATAAGTCCAACTTCAGAAACAAAACCGTCACTGAGATTTCTTTACCGTACTAAAATATAAAAAATTGAAATTACAAAATCTAATAGTTTTAGGTATACCTATAGAATGTAGATTGGAAAAAGGAAGTTAAGCCCCGCGACCTTCTTATAGATCTATTGTTTCCCTCTTTCTTGAGTTATAAATCGTCATACAGTCTCAGAATTAAAAAACTAAATGGATGAGAGTTTCTACCAAAAATGTCGCTATTTTTCATTACCTTCTATCCCTTTGTGGGCTGGCATCCAGAGAAGCAGGACTTTATTTTCTTTGCCTAATTTGTTCAGATTCTTTAGACACTCTTTGATCAACTAAGCTAAGTTGTACGCATCTCTTGATAGCGTCGATTGCTGCGCGAAGGATGCTGGGGTGGGTGCTCATTGGTTCGGAGTAATTAGTTTTCGGTCCAAATACTCCTATCCCTGTCCCTGCTTTGGTTTTGGAAGCATCAGTATACCACGTTGTAATATTGTCTTTTAGCTGTTGAGCTAACGTTTCTCTCTTCCAATTCAGGCAACGGCCTAGCTACGTCGAAACACCGGTTCCCATTAGAACACCGAAGTTAAGCGACGTAAGGCGATACTGGTGGCGGAACGGGTGACCGGTTCGAAACTTTACACTCTGCTCATTCACGCCGGTTCGAGGCCGGATGAGATCGGATATCTCGTGAGTAAGAGTCGATTTATACACTTGCCAAGTCGGTAGGCCATTGACCATGATATGGCCGAGGACCGCGGTTCGGATTCCGCGTAAACAAAGTAGGCCCCGTTCAGATTAGCCCTAGCAGCAAAAAGTAGACATTAACTGAAATCTTTACTTTACTTTACTTTCTCTTCCAATTCACCCTGTACAATTCAATAAAAAAAACTTTATGTTAAGTAATTATGTATAACAGTTTATTTGAAAAACTTAAGAAACCGGTAGAATTACAATGTAATTCGCTTAGAAATAAAGAGTTTAATATAAAACTGCATAAATAGCTTAATTTCAAAAAAGGACCCATGAATCTCCTAAGTTTGAATACTTCCCGATTTTAATGCTCGAAAACTTTTCAAATATAAAAGTTTTAATATACACACGGCAAACCGAAGGCAAACCTTCAGATAAAGGCGAGTAAAGACCCTCTCGTCGTTTAAAATTCAGGAAATGCACAACAATATTTCTTATGCAGTTTGCAACAGGGATCGATCCGAATAAATTTGTATTTGTAATGCAATCATAAACATGGAGAAGTTTATCGCCAGGATTACGGGGGATACGTCTCAATTATTCGATTGGCTGTTTATTTGAAAATTGAGGGTGTAAAATATAAAACTCGCCGGGAACGACGCTTTTGTTATACATATTATGAATACGTTTGGAAAACATGAGGTGTTGAAAAGGAGATAATCTAGCATAGTCAGGGGATAACTTAGTATAATCATATTTAAGGATGGAATTCACATATATATTCACCTATTCCTAGGTGACTATATGTGAATAAATTTATGCGGTATCTTTATTTTACAGTTACTCCAGTTTTAAGCACCACATACGGGATGGTATAAGTTTGGTGTCATTCTCCGCCGGTGCTGCCACCATCGGAGAATATCGTAAACAACTGATATATACAAACACATGGGTTTAAATAGCGAGTATACGAAAAATTTATTATTTAATTATTCTAAAAGTTTTAGGAAGTATAATTTGTGAAAATTCTAAAAATAAAAATAAAAAACTAAATATTTTGATATCTTCTTATATTATAATTTTAATTTATTACTCCAGCTAAAAAAACTTATTAGATGAGTTTAACTACGATACGGTAGCGAGCATAGTTTTACACACCGGTTTTGCTAGTGGGGTCATAATTGGGGATATATTGGCTATAATGATATTTTTTAAAGGTACATACTTATAATTTCAGAAGATGTTCATAAAATATTTAACCACTAGTTGATTAAAAAAAGTATACCATTAATATTGCAAATTGTATTTTATCCTCTCATAGTATATGTCTATTTAATTTTTTGATTATGTAAGGAGCACTTTGTTTACTCACTTGTTTGGTCGAACCTTTTGAATCTTGAATCCATTTTTGCTTTTGATCAAATCGGTGTGAGAAACTATTAATCTATAAAATATTGTTTCTGTAGAGTTGAATATCCGGGAAAGTTATTGAATGTTATTGCACTCAACAACGCCCTAATTACGCTCTCCTTACGTGTTAACATTTTTTCGGCAATTTTATTAAGATTTCAAATTGTCACAACAAAACACGACGCCTATTTCGGATTCTTTTTCACTTATTTTTTTCTACCCGAAACAGCGTTACATCACACAAACCTCGTACTTGAGTGTTTTATAATTTCAATAACTACACTAGCAAAAAACTAAAATACTTAAATATTATGACAAAGCCACGTTTTCAATATTATTTTAATGCGATCGACATGAACTGTAACCGGGACGGCGTCAAATACATAGCGAAAATTTCTAATTTCTGCCGTATACAGCGCTGCGGTCGGAATTTTTTGAAATCAACTGAAATGCACCAAGTCTAGACAAGCGTTACTTTCTCCTCGATTTTGTCTCCACTTAACTTTAAAAACACAAACACGTAATATCACAAACCGAAGTGCAACAGCAATATCACAAATATTTATCACTTTCCAGAACGCTGTTGACAAGTTTAACAAACGCTATAATAGTTTGACAAGTTTCAAAAATCTTAGGTCGAGATCATACTCATCTGCGTCTGTGAGTAATTGATCGTTCTGTCTATGGTTCTGTTATAACCAACCTCTACTATGTTTGACATTTTTCTATATAGCAATCTTTTCCTGAAAATTGAAAATACATTTATCCCATATATTAAATTATTTAAATTCAAATTTGTTTTATCCATTGTGACAAAATAATTTGGAATTTATCAGATAACAATTTTTTTAAGCAGTTTGACAGAAAGTATTATGAATATAGAATATAGTAAATATGAATTTCATTAATGTAATATAATAACTTATTTTTAGGTACATCTATGTGAAGCGGAAGGTCTTCCAGACTTTAATGGAGGTTCATCATTTCATAAAAAGCAGCTAGTTATTGTTAAAAGCTTATGGAGAGGATGTGGCGATTCTAAAAGGTAAAGTTATCATTATTCTGAAAATCGGAATATTTTTAGTTATATCCAAAGCAAAATATGACATTACATGATTACATTACACCAATAACTTGATCAATAAGTTTTAGATAATAAAAAAGCACATTTATTTTATATTAATTAAACTTTTAGTTACGTAATTTTGAAGTTAATTGTTTGCCAACCACCAACATATTCGGTGCCGGGCTGACAAACTGGAACTTAAATTTTCCGCTAGCGATTCAGGTGGTAGCTCTGCTATAAAAATTGTCAAATAGTTTCCTGTCATTGTCATTCGCTTTGACACTCTAGTTTTGTATTACGAGTTTTTGGTTTAAATTAATAGTGTTGTGATACTTTAAGTTCAAAAATGTTTACTAGCAGACCTTGACTTTGTTCTTTTTAGAACCTTTTTTAGTGCGCAGCTTAATAGCCATTAAAACTCATCGCAACTTGAATAGAATACTTTGAACGGGAAAGCGGTAGTAATGGCCCTTTATGTCTCTTAACTGCTGTTAAGGCGGTGAATTTTGTTGATGTAAATAATAACTGTTTATATATATTTACAATTAATTTATTTTTGTTTCCTAAAATATTTTGATTAAAAGAAAGTATGTAAAAGTGGGTAACTCTGTGCCGGCCAAGCTTAATCACGTGACTAAAAAATCATTTGGTATGATCTAAACGTTATAAATAATGTTATAAAAAGGGCAAATAATGTAGAGAAATATAAAAAAATATCTTTCAGAATTATCCTTAAACGTCTTATTTTTAGGTAACATTCTTCAAAAAGGCTTACTATGCGTCTTTTTTTTTCTTTTCAAACTATAGGCAACTTAGTATTCCGTTGCGAACTTCAGTTCTATTGACTCAGATTATAACTTGGGGACATATTAAATTAAAGCGATTGTGGTTCTCTCCCTTAGGTTTTGTTCTTCAAATGAAACGTTACGAAGTTTTAAACTTATAACTAAAAGCATCTTAAGTGGTTCTTTTCAAGTAGGATAATATATATTAATTACAAGTATTGTTGCCTTTTATATTCAAATGACTTAGTAATAAAGTAACAATTTGTTTAACAAAATCTAATATTTATGGATGTTAGTTTTTTGTCTATTTGATAACTATAAACTGTGTGTCCAAGTAATTTGTATACAAACGAGAAAAAGGTATTGAAAAAAAAGTTAATTTTGTTTCTCAAAAATGTCATAAACTCTCTCTTAAACACATAGGAACAACATTTTAATGAACAGAGCCTTCCATAAAATCAATAAAATGAAAAATTTACGAAATAATTAAATGTACTGATTTCTTTCGAAAATCGACAACTATGAAACTATGAACCCTTCCCAGACACAAACGGTACATTGTGAAACAGGATATTGTAGAGAGAAACAAGCTTTATAACATAGGATACAACATTTTAATGAACAGTGCTTTCCATAAGATCAATAAAATGAAAAATATACGAAATAATATGCATGTACTTATTTCTTTCGAAAATCGACAACTATGAAACTATGAACCCTTCCCGGACACAAACGGTACATTGTGAGACAGGAAATTGTAGAGACAAACAAGCCCTATAACATAGGATACAACATTTTTATGAACAGTGCTTTCCATAAAATCAATAAAATGAAAAATATAGGAAATAATATAAATGTACTCATTTCTTTCGAAAATCGACAACTATGAAACTATGAACTCTTCCCGGACACAAACGGTACATTGTAAAATAGGAAATTGTAGAAAGAAACAAGCCCTATAACATAGGATACAACATTGTAATGAACAGTGCTTTCCATAAAATCAATAAAATGAAAAATATACGAAATAAAATAAATGTACTGATTTCTTTCGAAAATCGACAGCTATGAAACTATGAACTCTTCCCGGACACAAACGGTACATTGTGAGACAGGAAATTATAGAGACAAACAAGCCCTATAACATAGGATACAACATTTTTATGAACAGTGCTTTCCATAAAATCAATAAAATGAAAAATATACGAAATAATATAAATGTACTCATTTCTTTCGAAAATCGACAACTATGAAACTATGAACTCTTCCCAGACACAAACGGTACATTGTGAAACAGGATATTGTAGAGAGAAACAAGCTTTATAACATAGGATACAACATTTTAATGAACAGTGCTTTCCATAAGATCAATAAAATGAAAAATATACGAAATAATATGCATGTACTTATTTCTTTCGAAAATCGACAACTATGAAACTATGAACCCTTCCCGGACACAAACGGTACATTGTGAGACAGGAAATTGTAGAGACAAACAAGCCCTGTAACATAGGATACAACATTTTTATGAACAGTGCTTTCCATAAAATCAATAAAATGAAAAATATACGAAATAATATAAATGTACTCATTTCTTTCGAAAATCGACAACTATGAAACTATGAACTCTTCCCGGACAAAAACGGTACATTGTAAAATAGGAAATTGTAGAAAGAAACAAGCCCTATAACATAGGATACAACATTGTAATGAACAGTGCTTTCCATAAAATCAATAAAATGAAAAATATACGAAATAAAATAAATGTACTGATTTCTTTCGAAAATCGACAGCTATGAAACTATGAACTCTTCCCGGACACAAACGGTACATTGTGAAACAGGAAATTGTAGAGAGAAACAAGCCCTATAACATAGGATACAAGATTTTAATGAACCATAAAATCATACACATTATTAATTAAATATAACTGAACATATCGAAATTAATTAAATCAAATTGTTTAAGTGATATTTTCAAAAGTCAATAACTCGGAAACGGTTAGTATGAGGTATATTGTGTATATTTCGATTTTTGTTTAGAATTGGAGGTAGAACCGAAAACCGGTTCGATTTAAAAAAAAAGAAACTTTGATGTGCCACGACTTTATGACCGACCCTGTATACTTAAATTTATTACCCGCTAATAGATATTTATAAACCCTATAACTATTATATTTAACTTTTTGCGGTACCTCCTATATTTTACGTAATAATCGACCGTTTCCATACATAAAAGCTACCCTGTATAAGTTTTAGTAAAAATATTTTCCACACGGAGAAAACGAGTCTCGAAAATATAGTAAAAATTACAATATTTTAGTAAATTTTACTAACCGTTTTGGAATATTTACATTATAAAATATATTTATTCCTTTCGGTTAGTAAATTCTACTAAAATATTGTAATTTTTACTATATTTTTACTCAAATATTCCAAAACGTTTAGTAAAATTTATTAAAGTATTGTAATTTTTACTATATTTTCGAGACTATTTTTCGTCTCTTGCAAAAAAGCCACGTCGCGTCGCATAGTTTTGAAGAAAAAATTATTGATTTTTTTTCCAAAGCAGACCTAGAAAATATACAAGAAGATTGTATATTTCGTAGACATAGAACAGCTATGTATTTTTTTAATTCATTCATTCATTCATTTCAAATTTTGTTATTTACATACATAGGGGTGGGGTAGTTTTCACCCTCTTTGGACTTTTTATCGAGTTTTGTCGAAGTCAAATATTTAAGCGCTTGGCAAAACATAAGTACCCCAAATCTTATTCAAATCAAAATAACGGTTCTTAAAATATCTTAAAAAATGTGTTTATTTTTTTGACACGCACTTTTATAAAAGTGATTATAAGCAGCGTTAGCTATTACTTAATAACTAATAATTTATTATATTCTTAGGCACGAATTTCTCAGAGAAACGTCATGGTTAGCTGGTTTAAGAGATCCTAACTTAGCCAGAGTAGTAGGATTATGCAGCCAAGATGAACCTATGTGTGCTCTTTTGGAACATTCAGATGGTAGCGAATTACCGAAATTTTTTGAGTCCAGGGTTGTATGTGAGGATGGCAATCCTGTTGCGCCATCTGTGAGGTAAGTGTACCTACATTTTCGATGTGCATTAATAGCGGCTTCCTTAATACACTAAGGCCAACTGTCCACGGAGGCGTAGCTAGTTTCATAGGCGCTGCAAAATACGTCGTGCAGCTTGTGCAGCTTGGCGCACTAAGCTCTGTCCACGAACCGTATTGCAAACGTACGTCTTCATCCATTTGTGACATTGCTGTTCAACGAGCAAGACGTTATTTTGGATTACTACTATATCCAACGTCGCAGATTGGATCATGGTGGCGAATAAAATAAAGTGGATACATAAGGATAGATTCTAACCTGTCCATTTAATGTAATTCGCCACCTCATTCTAAGTCCTCTCAGATATATCTTTTCTTGAAGGGTGTATTCCCTCGTAGGAGGTAAATGCCCACTCCTCGGAGAATGAACATCTGTTGTCAGAGGAGAATGGGAATAACCTGCCTCCCCCCCCCCCATATAACGAGTTGAATATAACGAGTTGAATATAATATAGACTGTATGATGAGCTATAACTCAAGCAGGAGAGACACAATAGATCTTTAAGGTCGCGGTGATTAACCCCTCCTCTTACTCATTCTACATCTTTTCTTGCATATCCAGCAAGGTTATGATTGTACAAAAATGGATATTTTCCACATTCACTACAAATCTCGCAGCAGCACCCGCCAACCAGGCGTACTACAAACGTATAATGACTAATACGCGTCTATTAAGCTACTATTATTAGTTATTAGTATTAGTCATTATATGTTTGTATAAATATTTTTTCTTCGTTTCTTTTTTAAATAGAACATCCTGTATATTATTTTTTCAATAGATGAGAATTAAAAAATGAACATTTTTTGTATTTCGAGTATTTCAAAATGTTTAACGGTTTTGCAGATATTCGCGGTTATATATTTCATATGGTACCTTTTTATAGTATGGTACACACACGCACAGTAAATTGTTATCAAAGCCACCCAATGATTTCTCTCTCGTATTTTACCATTGAAAGAGCCATTTGAAATAATTCAACCACACATTCATTAATCACTAAAAATTTTAACTTAACATTCATTAACCACTAAAAATTTTGAAATACTTTAAATACAAAAAATGTTTATTTTGTAACTCTCCATCTAATAAAAAAATAATATACTGGATGTTCCATATAAAGAAAAAAAGAAAATTTATTTTATATTTTAGAAAATTTGGCGTAGAATTTTAAACACCCTGTATGAATTAAGATTACGATATTTATAGCAAAGTAAGTTTAAACTATCTAAAGTAAATAGCTAATTTAGTTTTGAATTGAGGACAGGTTCTTCTATTTTCTAGTAATTTTTTTTAAGGAAGGTTGAAAAATTTGTATTTTTTATTTATTTATTAATATCTCTGAAATTATCGAAATATATTTACTCATATCTTAGGCTTATGTAAAGTGATCTGAAAGGAAGCCAAAAATGCAATAATATACAGGGTGTTCTATTTAAAGAAAATCATCCCGATCCACTCACACTTTCTTGAGCCACTCTATAGAAGTTAAATTATTTTCCGAAAATACATCCTGGTACATACTTTAGGTTTGTACTAAAACAAAATTCTCAAGTTTTTTATTCTAGGAACTACAGATGCTCGACACACTCTTGCCTGACCCTGTATAGCTTTATCGGAAACCTAGGTCACCCTTTACAGGGTGAGTCTTAAATAAGTGCAAATATTTTTAGGGGTAGCATATTTTGACCCCAGAAACACGATTATGAGGTTTTTCTCGTAAAATTTTTTTTTTGAAAATTTAGAATTTTTTGAAAAAATTTAGGATTTTTTTTAGTTTTTAGTAAAAAAACATAATTTGTTGATAATATGGCAACATATATAGTATGTTTTATAGATTAAATTTACAAGAAAGAAAATTCAGAAAAGATCCAGTGGTTTTCAAAATTTCAGCAAAAATTCAGTTTTTTTGGAAATGTTCAAAGTAAAATAACTCGGTTATTTTAGATTTATTTGAATATATACTGTAAATATTTCAAAACGGTTAGTAAAATTTACTAAAATGTTGTAATTTTTACTATATTTTCGAGACTCGTTTTCTCCGTGTGGAAAATATTTCTACTAAAACTTATACAGGGTAGCTTTTATGTATGGAAACGGTCGATTATTACGTAAAATATAGGAGGTACCGCAAAAAGTTAAATATAATAGTTATAGGGTTTATAAAGAGAAAATATGTTTCTTTAATCGAGATCTACCAACCCTAAAAATATTTGCACTTATTTAAGACTCACCCTGTATAAAGGTTGCGTTTTTTTGAGGTACAGAACCCTAAAAAATGTCTATATTAATTTTCTAGCTAGTAAAGTTGAAACAAAATATTACTTAACATATAACAAAAACGTATTCTTTTCAGTCTAATGCAGTTTTAAAAATGAGACATCGAAAAAACATTAAATTAACTTTTAATAACTATTGCCGGCGCGCCTGCCTAACAAAAATATTTTCAATAGCCACTGTAATGGCATTCGTGTAATGTGGAAAACAAAGCCTTTTTATATTTTTTACAGCTCCCGCCATTGTTAATATTTTCCGAATAAAGCGCACGTAAAATTCGAAATAATACCGAACGGGTTAAAAATGTAATACTACCGTCTCCTATTACCCTTCCAAAAATGTTTCGCTGCAGACAAAACACTGTTATTAAAATTTAGATTATTCCTAAAAAAACACTATATTAAAGTGCAAAATCAATACACAGAAAAAGATATTTGGAGGTATTAAAATATATATTGTCTGTTTTATTATTCAAAAAATACCATGTTTTATAGAATTATTTGAATGTAACATAAATTTTTATAGGAGAAATGATTGGAACTATAAAATATAAAATAACATATTTATTAAATAGTTTTATAACTATAGCGCATACCGGGTGTTTCTCGAAAGTGGCTCACTGATTTGTGTTCTACACACAACAAATATCCTTTTTTTTTCTTTTTTTTAATCATATATTTATGACCTTTAATCGGTATTATGTATGTATGTATGTCCGGTTTTACAGCGTCCTTCGTCGCCCTCCGATCTCCATGCGCCACCTCCGTCTATTGTCCCAATCTCCTGGTAGTAGGTTCCTTTCCGACATGGCTCTGTCGATTCCTTGATTCCAGGAAAGTTTAGGTCGGCCTCGTTTACGTCTGTCTGTAGGGGTCCACTGCAACACTTGCTTTGGTATTCTATCGTCAGCCATTCGTTGTACATGGCCGTACCACGTTGTACATGGCCGAACCACTGCAGTTGTTTTTCTTGTATATCTTGTACAATGTTACCCTCCACCTTCATTTTTTCACGTATTCTCTCATTCCTAATTCTCTCTTAAACGGGAGATTCGGGCTGATCATCGCCAAAAGTCCATTTCGGGCGACAACAACTTCTTTTTATGTTTTTCGCTTAATTGCCGTACCTCAGAGATATATAACATTACGCTTTTCAGAATCGCGTTATAAATCAGTTTTTTTTTTCTGTGATCCGAGATATCCCTAGACCAAAGCACCGAGTTCAGCGCTCCTATCCCCTTTCTGCCTTTACCAATTCGTTCTTGGATTTCCTTTTCGCATCTCCCTTTGCTTGCGATTTTTACCCCTAAATACATATATTCTTCGCAAGCTTCAATTTTTATATTGTTATTTAATACTAGGTCTTCCAACTCGCCACTGACACACATATATCTTGTCATCTTCTTGTTTAGCTCTAGTCCCCATTTCTCGTACTCCTCTATCAGTTTTCTGGTCATGTTTTGATGGTCAAACTTCAACAAAATATTCCTTATGTTTGGACTAAATACTAAATTTTCTCGGGCTAAAGTTTTAATATATCCAAGAAGTACTACAACAATTACTTAGTTCAATACTATGGAAAAGGTAATTATAAATTTTGTTCTTCTTTAACATTTTAATAAAGCAAAAAATATGACGTTAATTAAAAATAATAATAGCGATCTATGAAAGAATGAACAGAAAATTATATTTCCATGGAAACGTGTTTCGATTTTTGGGACTTTTTTAGTGCTTGGAGAAAAAATGAACTATATTTTCATATTTCTTTATTTATCTCTCAACCGGTATGGAAATTTTTCTTTATAATAAACAATAATTGTTTTCTCTTATAAAGACGATTTTGGGACATACTGTATAACAGTTCCTCACCAAAATGAAAACGTACTGCGTGGTTCAAAAATAGAAAATTTACAATCTGACAACGCCGAAATGACTCTACACATGTCAAAAATGTTGCCTATTACTTTAAATAAAAAAAATAATTGAATTAACAAAGAAATCAGAAAATTATATATAACCATACATCCATACAACAATGATTAAGTAGTTAACAAAAAAAAACAGAAAAGTGAAAAAATACAAAATTCTAAATTTAAACTCTTATTTAACAAATTAATTCTATCAGTATCACGGTAAAATTCATCTACTGAATAGAGCACTTTATTTCTAAGTACTCTCGTACTGCTGTTTTTAATATGTTTATTGAAGCAAACCACAGTTTCAGGAAGACGGTTATAGAGAGATATTGAAGAGTTACTATAGTTACACTTTTTCCCCATTACTATTATCTTTTTCCTTATATCATAATCATGCTCTAGCTGGCTATGATCGGCCGTAAAATTCCCGTCTGGCATTGGCTAACATATTAGGCTAATAGTTTAAAAAGCCTCTCGTATTTTTACTTGAAGCTCATCCAGATTATTAGCCCTATTATGACCATACACTTTGGATTTTACATAACCCCACAAAAACAAATCATTGGGAGAAAGATCTGGTGATCTAGCGGCCCACAAAATAGTTCCATATCCACTAATTAAACGGTTGGGAAAAGTATTGTTCAAATATTCTTGAACAATACGGGCATTGAGAGCAGGGCAACCATCTTGTTGAAACCAGACATTGTGGAATCTTTCTCCAAATAACTCACGAATTCTAGGGACAATCTGCTGCTGTAACAAGTCCAAATACTTTGCAACAGTTGTGTTTCAAAATTATTAATAACTCTTGATATAGTAGGTAAAGATGGAATTGGCCTGTTTACAAAAGTTTGTGGAAAAATTGTTTGTATATCCCGATAACACCTATTTTGGAAATACCATTTTACAATTTGAATTTTCTCACGAACTTCGTAAACATCCATTATTTTACTTAAAAAATAAATTTTCCACGAGAGCTGTCGCGAGAATCTATGTATTCGTTTTGGTTATTAAAACACGAATAAATACAAATTCTGAAACATTCTTATCACATTTTCACCTATTTTTATTTTATCGCATTTTTTTCGTCTGCTTTTTATCCGGCGGACGGGTATACGCTAATTCGTCCGAGTTCTGCCTATGTTACTACTACGGTGGTCCGGTCTGTATAAGCAAGATACGCAGTTATAGCCGCATCCGTTCAAATATTTTCCGCAATTATTTTGAGATCATAGCTATATGTGATAATTTCCGCAGAAACATTAATAACATGAGCCTTCCAATCCAATATTTTGTATACAAGTATACCTAGACATTTTACTGTACCTATCTGTAGAAACAAATACATATAGACTATGTAGGTATTTACTAATAATACAGTTGTATATATTATTATTTGTTTGTACAGGTAAGTAAGCTTAACTTACAAGTAATATTTCGCATAATTTACTTGACCTTAATACTTCTTGAAATGTTTCATATTGTATGCAGTTGAAGTTTGAACCTTTGCGTTACAGCAGCAAAATATAACTCTAGTTAATACTAGTTCACCACTATTCACCAAAACACTTTCCACTCTGCTGATGATGCTAAACACTTTATCGAAACGCGCGTCAGTGTTCAACGAAAGTGTTTTGATTTGGTTTTTACCCCTTAGTTGCATCTTTATAAAGAACTGTGATTTTTTTTAATTTCAGATCTCCACCTGAAGACGCATCAGATGACGAAGACTTTAAAATCGACATCAAACAGGAATTCGATCATACGGCCGCTAGCACCGCGGTTCAAAGTAACAGTAGTAACAGTGCTTCTACGCTTGAAGATCCCAATCCGCCCAAGAGGACTAAACTAGAAGACCATCACTGTAGCAGTTACGATAACACCACTGTGCTGCATCTGCTTCAGGAGATCAGAGAGATGATCAATTCCAGAAACAATCCCATATCGATTTTTTTCGATAGCATGGCCAAGACTGTAATGCAGTTTCCACCAGCACAAGCTGCTGAGGTAAAATTAAAGGTTTGTCAAATTGTTACGGAAATGGAATGTAAATTATTGGAGGAAAGCGGAAATTATCCTGAAAATTTGGAGAATTTTCAATGAGAAATATTTTTTGTTATATAAATCTGTTATACCATTTGAATTAAGGTTATTATGAAATTCTCATGTAAATAATTAGTATGTCCAAGTAATAGTACATAGTCCATTTCAAAAGAACCATATATCATTTATTAGAAATCTTCATAAATATTTTGATACACTGGTATCTTTTGCATAACAGGAATACATAATATTTACAGAAATTGTAAATTTCTTGTAGCTGCATTTTAACTACTGATACTATAAACGTTTAAGATGTAGTATAAAACCTGACGAAGAGCTGGAAATTCTTTGATTCGAATATCTTGGAGTTGACGTAAAGTACTTTTTACATTATCTCATGTTTATCAAAATTTGATATACACTATGGACTACAGTGGGTCTTGGGTTGGATTTCCATGTCCAGGACTGAATAGCTATGGCGATCTTGTAAACGGGGGTGAGACAAATGCGGAGTGTATATTACATAATCCCTTAATCCTTATAAGCTTTGCTTTATTTCATGTGCCTGAGGCAGTACTTGCTCTCCTCTCTTTGTTCAGTGCTCAGTGCTTCTTATTGTGCTGAAAGCATTGACTATACTCTTCGTAGATACGAAAATCGAAACCCAAAGCCACGCCTTGCCGACAGTGTATAGAATCACATTTCCTATCATAAACAGCCTCTACACTATTCCCGAAATATTTTACGAAATATTCCTGGAAATATTTCGCAAAACATTTCTAGAAATACTTTCAGAAGTAAACCCAAATGTAAGTCCGTGTTATAAGAAGTAAAAAGAAGTTGTTAAAAGAAGTAAACCCAAATTAAGCCCATTCGTGTCGAGCACAGTCCTAACCTAACTAAACAAACAACCAATCACAGCGCGTCTCGATCTATTTCAGGAAACGTGGGAACTAATTTTTTAACACGGGCTTATAATAATCGTACTGTTTTGTGAAATAGCACGAAGCAATCAAGGTGAAACGTTATGATGGCTTCAGAAAAATAAGTAAACGTGGAATATGAATAAATATCATTATTTTGTAATGGAGTGTAATGTAATACCACTATATTAAACTGAAATCAAAAATCAAAAACAGTGCATTTAGAAAACTGTAACCGATGGTAGATTAAATTGGCTATCCCTCTAAGGTTACACAAGAATATTTAGTTTTAATTGTCTCACATTATTAATTACAATATAGTAAAAAAATATATTTCCAAAACTTAAAAGTGTAAAACTGCGGGGCAATACGCAGTGACTAACTGTTCTGGCGGTCCGCCTTTTAAGGTTATAATCCACGGTATTAAACTCTTTAAAAAATCGTCTAATTATTTCTTATTTTTGAATGGATTTATAATCAAACCATGTTATTATTATATATAAAAGTATCTTTTATTGGCATCGGGTAAATCAATAGTTTTCTCAATCAGCTCGATATATTGATGATGTTGCCAGTATTACTCATCAAACTCATCACTGTTATATTAATCAATTAAGACCGCGTAAACCAACATAACATATACAATTTTACACAGGGTGCTACAAATTCGAGGTACGAGCATTGATATCTCGGTAACCGTAATAGATACGAACATGGTTAAATTGGGGCAAAGTTGCTCCTTGGCATATTCACCAACTTGCGATAAAAAAGTTTTAAAAATTTCAAGGATTGCTGAGTTTTTTGGAAAAAACGAATTTTTTTGAAAATGAATTTTATTTTTTCCTGTCGTTACTTTAAAGAAAATCATAAAAATTACACATTCTCATAGCCACTTTATAAAAGCTATTTGATAGTATTTTTAGATTTTCAAATTAGCTGATAAGTTGTGAGATACAGAGGCTAACTTAATTTTTTTAAATAAAGACCTGCATTTTTTATTTCAGGTTTTGAAAGAACTCGGTCTTCTGAGTACAATGATATGCATACTTGATATTTTTTTTTGTTTTGGGTACCTTAACAATAACGAAACCTTTTAATTGTTATTTAAAATATTTTCAAATCCGGTTCTGATTTTTAATTTATTTAATCTGATTATATTCTTCACAACAATATTGATCAGCGCTAATTAACATTGAATAAGGAAAATCACATTAAAAATTGTTATTAAAGGTATGTTCCCAGAAGAATCTCTGACTAGTCAGCGCGTTTCTTATTGGTTGAAATGCGTAGAAACCTGACTAACAATCAGGTTTCTACGCATTTTAACCAATGAGAAACGTGATGACTAGTCAGGGATTCTTCTGGGAACAGACCTTAAGAGTACAAAAACAATTAACGAGCACTAAAAAACAATTAGAGAGTATAAAATGCATTTGGAAGTATAAGGTCTGTTCAAAGAGCTATAAATAAGATTGAACGAAAAACAAATGTGTGCATTATGGAGGGTGGTAACTCTAATCGTAGTTATTTATAATAACTACCATTAATATTATGCATATTATTAGATCGTATACTGAGATTTCAAATTCACAATAAAAAAAAGTTAAAAATAATAGATATCTTTAAATTGCTGACCTGGATATTAAATATTTTATTCTTTCAATTGGCGTGATTTTTCTTATTCAGTGTTAATTAGCGCTGATCAATATTGTTGTGCTGAATATAATCATATTAAATAAATTCGGACTTCAAATTATTTTACAGTTACCTAATAGACCTAAATAGTTTCGTTACTGTTAAGGTACCCAAAACAAAAAAAGTATCAAGTGTGGCATATCATTGTACTCAGGAGACCGAGCTCTTTCAAAATCTGAAATAAATAAAATGCAGGTCCGTATTTAAACAAATTAAGTTGGCCTCTGTATCTCACAAATTGTCAGATAATTTGAAAATCTAAAAATCAGATAGCCCTAATAAAGTGACTATGAAGAATGTGCAATTATTTTTTTGATTTTCTAAACAGTAACGACAGGAAAAAATAAAATTGATTTTCAAAAAAATCAGTTTTTTCCAAAAAACTCAGCAATCCTTGAAATTTTAAAAAAATTTTTGATCGCAACTTGGTGAACATGTCAAGGAGCAACTTTGCCCCAATTTAACCATCTTCGCATCTATTACGGTTTCCGAGATACCAATGCTCGTACCTCGAATTTGTAGCACCCTGTATACTAAATCATTATAATAAAATTAAATACCTCATACACATATATTGTAATTATATTCCTGCAGATTGAGTGAAAAGTTTTGTTCTTAAATATCTACTCTACATATTATTAAACGCGTGTTCAAATATTAATCTTGTTGAATATATGCATATCAACATAAAACGAGATGTAATTAACGAAATATCATCGTAACAACAGCTATTTTAGAAACGTCTAGGATTACTTATTTCACTGAGATTTATGATAAAAAGTCCTTTGCCTCGGGTACATATACCGCCACGTTTTGGAAATAGCTCAAAACGAAACAAACTTGAACGAGGCAACATGAAATGCTAAAAAAAAATACGCCCTTCTCATGAGTAGTTTTCAGGCGCTTTTAAGAATAGAAAGTATGTCAAGACAAATCAAAGTGGGTCAAGACAACTGAAAATAAACTGAAATGCGACCTTTACTTGGTTCGAAGAGTTCTCCGCATAGTGTAGAGGCTGCAGTAATAAAGTATTATCACTAACACAGCAATAAATCTAACATTTTTTTTCAGCAATATTTTATTAAAATATAGATTCCGTTGAATGTAGAAGTTTTAAGGATTAAGTTTGTAGCAAAAAAATTATTTGCTTGGAAAATACCTATTTGTTATGCCAATTAAAGCCGAGATATACAAAAAAAAATCTGTCAACTATTACAGCCAGGAAACAAATACACTACTGTAGATATACAAATACACCGCGTCGGCATTTCTGACCTTGGGTGCCGATTTTCGTGTGTACAAAGAGTACGATCAAGACGTAGAAGAGTAACTCCTAGACTTATCAACCGACCCAAAGTTTCGCCTGCCAGTAGGGTATGACCTCTCAAAGTTAAATGTTTTAAGAGAACCTGATCAGTTTATTTTTGGTTAAATTACAATAAGGATACTTTTTACTATAGTAACTAAAATGCAGCTAATTATGAAATTTCAAAATTAAACGAGATAATAGTTTAAATTTTTTGACAACCGAAGGGAATTTTTCAGTTCGTAGTTTACAGAATTTATAGAAATCATAGTGGAATTTTCCTCCTATTATATGATTACTTACAATCTAAGATTAAATAATTATTTTTAACTGATTTATTTAGGTTGAATATTATGTAGAATATTTTACATGAGTTTTACAATATTCTATTGAGGGCATTAAAGTATTTTTTATTTCATAAAATTACGCTTAAAAAAGTAAGTGTAAAAATTAGGTTTATAGTAGAATTAGGTGCATAGGGTGTCTGAAAATGTATGTAATACACTTTACCAACATTTTTTATGGAGTTCGAAAAAAAATATTATACGGAATCAGTTCAATATATTTAACAACAGAAAAAAAAATATTTTGACGTATATCATGCATATATATATTTGGTGTACTTACCAAAATTTAAGGGTTGATGACAATATATCGCAAATAAAAAAACAGGTTTAGATTTTGATTTTATATTTAACTAACCATTTTTAAAAATATACAGGGGCTTTGAAAATGTTGTAGGGATATTTTCAAAAAATTACTATGTTTTGTAATATTATAGTTATTAACGTAATAAGGCCGATAAACAACAAATAACGGCCGGGCTGAAGTTTGTGATCCGAGGCGATAGCCGAGGATCATAAGCAGCCAAGGCCGTTATTTGTTATCGGCCGTGTTGCGTTCTAGATTTTTCGTCATACTGCAGATTTTTTAGAGCAATAAACACTACTATTTAATAACAAATTTTATTGAACAATAACACAAGTAAGGATAAAAAATACATAATGTCTTATACTAAAATTCATTTTTCATGATAATGAACATGGAAATTAAAAGTGCACTTGTTGTTCTTAGAAATCTGTAATCCTTCCCAGGGATTTACAGATTTTATAGAAGAAGATGATGCTACTGAAGAA